CATGTTCTGTAGGGCATTATTTGGCCAATTGAACTAATGTGTTTAATGTTATAAATAGAGCCAGAACCACATCACATCAGGGTCACAGATTCCAGGGCTTCCTGTTTATTTGTAAGGGTTTGTAGAATTTATTCCCAGACTCTCACTAGAAAAAGAAAATGTAGCCACTTTTCAGATATCAACAAATCTAAAATGGGAACAGTCTGCTGTTTTATATCCCAAAGCTACAAATAATATTTAAAATAATGAGTTCTGCTTTAATTGCTAACTAAAGACTCGTAACAATGTGGTCATTGAACTTATTTCTCATAGAAATGTCCTCACAGATTTCAAACAAAGCTTGAACTGAGTGGAAATGCCAAAAATAGATCCCAGAGTTCTTGAACATGGTTCCTCCACATATATTGTAACTACAATTCCCAGAATTCTCTGGTACCATTGGAAACCACTTAGACCAGGGTCCAAGGGTAAAATGCTACTGGTTCGCTTTGGTTCGGGCAAACCGATAGTGATAAAAACTACTGGTTTGGGCTAACTGATAGTAAAAAAAACCTACCAGTTCATCTGAACCAGTATTTCTGACGATCAGCTTTGCCGCGCGGTTTATATTTGCTAGAAAGCAGGAAATCCTGCTTTTTAGCGAAGCTAAATTGCACGGCATAGCTGTTCCCCCTCCCCTCGCTGTTCTACTTACCTAGTGAAGTTTCCTTTTTCTGCACGAAGCGCTCGTTTGGTGTGCATTGTGCATGCGTGCGCAGCGTGCTTTTGGCATGTGCTGCACATGTGCAGTGCGCATTTGGTGCACACCACATATGCGCGGCCAGCGAACCGGTGGCAATCCGCAGAGGATTTTACCACTGCCAAGGTCCCCAAACCCCCAGTCCATGGACTGGCACTGGTCCATGGCATGCCAGAAACCGGGCCATGCAAACAAGCAAAGCACCATCTACGGGACGCAGACAGCACATGAAACCAAGCCCCCTCTGGTCCATGGAAAAAAACTCTCTCCACAGAACTGGTCCCTGGTGCCCAAGAGGTTGGGGGACACTGACTTAAGACATCACAACTGAAGTGTAGAAAATTGGGGAGGCTGGGACATCCAACCATAAAGAAGCTACTACTATAACAGATGATTGGGATACAAAGCTCCCCAAATTATTTGTGGACACCTCAGGGACAGAAATGAGAATGGTACACCAGCACACTGCTCCCATTCTGTTAAATAAGATTTGCGTACCTGAATTCACATTTTATACTGAAATAATGTATGCATTACAGTTCGGTTCAGACTAGGTGAATGAGAACCTGAAGAAAAAACATGGACATTTCATCCCATAATTATTGGAACTTTTTTTTTTTTAAATTTTGATTTATATGCCGCCCTTCTCCGGAGACTCAGGGTGGCTTACAATGTGCTAAGCAATAGCCTTCATCCTTTTTGTATATTTATACAAAGTCAGCTTATTGCCCCCACAACTGGGTCCTCAATTTACCTACCTTAGAAAGGATGGAAGGCTGAGTCAACCTTGAAGGACAGCCTTTATTGGTATAATTTTCTGAATTACTTAGCATCTTTTTTTTTTTTTACTTCCAAAGCAATATATAACGTTTCAAATATTCTACCAAGAAAAACCATTCATTTGCCTAATTTTTTTAAAAAAACTGTTGACCGAAGGGCCAGCAAGTAAATATGGAAGGTAAATATTAGGGGATTAAATAAAATGTTACTGTGCTCTGCTGACCCATGAAAAAACTTAGAAGACCTGGATGTGCTCCAGGGCCTCGTGTGTGGTGATGTTTCAGTATTGTAAATTCAGAAAGTGATAATAGTAACTAGACCAGTTTGAGCAAATGTTAATAATAAAAATATATTCTTTCAGAAATAGGAGTATTTGCTAAAGTTAAACTTTCACTGTGTAAGGATCGGCTTCTTTTCACTCACCTGGGCAAAGTAAATATAAGGACCAGATAAAATTGGAAGGAAACCCCTTTTAGCTTGGGAATTTATACTTTTTCCTGCCCAGCCTTGAAACAGTGAGGGCATGCTGTCACTTGAATGATGGGAATATAGTTCCCAACATTCCGATTTAAGTTTTTGGGGAAGGCTAAGGGGCTTTCTCCCCCCTTCCCCATGGCTTTATATTTTGCCTCCTAGCCTCCCAAATTAACCCCGTTTTGGAGTGTTTTCTTATTTCTGAAGAGATAATACAGTTGCAAGAATTAAGGCCACCATTTTGCCTCTTGAAATCTGCTCCCTTAACAAAAGGTCTGATATTTTCAGCCCCACCATTTCCAGGGAGGTCTTGGGATTGCAGGGCTGCGCGTGGCCAGTAAGCTTCAAGCTGCTTAGTTTTGCAGTAAATTATATTGGGAAAAAAAGATTGCAAGGCATTTTAGGATACTTCTTAATTTTCAATGATCCCATTAGTGACCGTTCAAAGTTACAACAGCACTGAAAAAAGTGACTTATGACCGGTTCTCATTCTTACGACCACTGTAGCATCCCCAATGATCAGTCACATGATCAAAATTCAGGTGCTTGGTAACTGGCTTGTATTTATGACAGTTGCACTGTCCCAGGGTCATGTGATCACCATTTGTATTGTAGAAAGTTAGCACCCATCCCTCTCCTAAAAGAATGAAATGTTTTGAAAAAGGCAGGAAAAAATATTTCCCCTAAAAGAGAAATAAAAATCTGAAGGGAGACAGAAACTCACCTCACCTCCCTGCCCCCAAGCAGATTCTGAGCTCCGGCAGCTTTTAGAAATGCAGCTTTAGCAATCCATTACTCCCCGCAGCAAAGTTTGAATAAAGGCAGATTAGCCCTCACCCAAGAGCAGGGGTGGATTCTACTTACCTTTACTACTGGTTCGCAACAGGATTGCAATCGAGTGCCTTGCTTCTGTGCGTGCACAGAAGCTTCTGCGCATGTGCAGATCGCCGATGACGACTTCCTGGGCAGTGGGCAGGGCCTCCCACCGATTTTACTACCGGTTCTTGCGAACCAGTCCGAACCGGGGGCAACCCACCACTCTAAGAGCCAAAACATGGCAAAGCCATTAATTATTGCATCACCCTCAGAAACTTCAACCAAACTAAGCTCAGACAACCTATAGAGCCAGCTATGACCCCTACATAAACCCTACAACAGCGAATAGAATACATGTTCTTGCACAGGAACAGAAAGCTCAAGTGCAAACCCCAAGAGAAGGTATAAAAACCCCTCACTCTAAACTCCATGTGGTCAGCTGCCCAGACTGACACATGCTTGGTGGTTCATCAATAAATGGACCCTCTGTCCAATCAGCCTCCAGATTCCGTTTTGTCTCCAGTGCCTTTCTCCCAGCTTGGAACTAGACCTGGATATTTCTTCTAACAGTAACCTTCCCAGCAAGTTTCCAATAAGCAAAGTCAATGGGGATATGCTTAATGACTGCATGGCTCACTTAACAACTGCAGTGATTCATTTAACAACTATGTCACAAAAGGTCATAAAATGAGTGCGACATTTAACAACTGCCTTGCTTATCAGTGGAAATTTGGGGCTCAATTGTGATCGTAAGTCAAGAACTACCTGTATTTCTAGTAACATTAAATTCAATTCTTTAAATCTATCAGCAGCAGAGATCCGGGTAGGGACCGTGCCGGACACCTGGCAAATTAGAATACTAATGCAGTATGAGGAAATTTAAAAAGCAAGGTTTGTTTTGCCAATCTCTGATGCATATTTGGCAGAGATTCAAGAAAACCTTTTGTTTCTTTGTTAGATTTATACCCTGCCTTTCATATGGGACACTCAAGACAAGTTTCAGAGTTTTCTCAACCTATTTGGTTTTTTCTTTCCTCACAACATCCATCCTTGTGAGTTGAGTTCAGCTGAGAGTGACTGAGCCAAAGTCACCCACTGCACTATCATGGCTGGCTGGGGAGTTCTGGGAGTTGAAGTCCACACACCTTAAGGATTCTCAAAGTTAAGAAACCCTGCACTTAGCCAGGGTTGACATTCCAGCTTTCTTCCAGCAGCCGGATTACAGAATTTACTCCTCCTGGAGGCTCCGTTATTTCCTCACTGATGGTCAAAGCAGGCAATATTATCATGAAGAAATTTGGGACTGACTGGACTGATCTAATTTAATTTAATTTAATTTAATTTAATTAATCATATTTCTATGCCGCCCAACTTCCAAGGGACTCTGGGCGGCTTACAACAAAAATAATACAAACAATGAACATAATTTTTTTAAAAATAAACATTATAAAAGCATTTTAAAAACATTAAAAACACATGCACACCATCCATGGCCTGATCTTGCAAGATTGAACAGCGAGATCAACGGCCCCAGGCCTGCCGGAAAAGCCAGGTCTTCACCGCTTTCCGGAAGGCCAATAGGGTGGGGGTAGTCCGGACCTCAGGAGGTAACTGGTTCCAGAGAGCTGGGCAGCCACAGAGAAGGCCCTCCCCCGTGAGCCCGCCAGCCGGCATTGTTACAAATCTATATTTGTAACCATTTGTAAGTGTTATTGCCAGGTGGCTGAGAGATGCAGAGATGCATCTCCCTAACAGTCCTTGAAGACATCTTGCTAACTGTCCTTTAATGACAAGGCCTTCATGATTGTGGCTGCCCAACTTTGTAGTTATGTTAAAATGGCATTTTCTGCTTTCTCCCAAACAAGATTTGCTATGTGCGTGATTTGCAGTGTTTCGGCAGCAACACCAGTGACGACGAGCTGGGATTTGCCCAGATCTTCTTAGCTGCTTTCGTTGCTGGAGGCACTCCCCACCCCCAGCCTCCCCTGGCTTGGGCAGGAAAAGAGATTAGGCACTGGGAGAATATTTTACAAATTGTTTTCCTTCACTTGTGTCCCACTGAAACTGTTAGGACAGCACCACTCGCCAGCCTCATTACTGAGGCAGAATAGAAGACACAGCAAATTATGCTGGCATACTTTGGTGCCACTTCACTGGAGGAAAGTCCATTCATTTTCCACTGGACCATTACCTGCTCCCTGCTCTGCAGTCTCCTGACTTTCCCCGCTGTGCTTAAATTTCAGAAGGAAGCCTCCTGAAGAAACGTTTTTCCAGTCAGGAAGCTGAGGAAAACTATGTAGTAGGAAACCATGCCACCTTCAGTGACCCCAGATGGGTCAGTTATTCTGAGAAGGAGATTATAAAATTAGAAGCTTTGTGCAACCAATGGATCAATACTTGGTTGATCTGAATTTAAAAAATGGATCCTGAACTTGCAGGAAACACACACACACACCAGGGGTGGTATTCACTTACCTTCGCTACTGGTTCACAAATGTGAGCACGCACGCACGCGCAGCACATCAAAAACAGGACGTGTTTTTGATGCGCTGAGGACAAGAGCCTCCTGCAGCCGCCGTATCGGTTCGTCCAAACCTGATAGAACCAGCTAAATACCACCACTGACACACACACACACACACACACACAGAGTATCCCTGTCAAATGGAATTTGTTTTTTATTGCTTTTTGCTATGAAGCCTTTTAAACTTCCCAGCCTAGCCTATGAGTCCTGGTGGTACTAATTAGGTCTGACCTTGTTCGCATGTACTAATTAGGTCTGACCTTGTTCGCATTTTCAAAATCAGACAGGACCATGTAAGTGCTGTTATGTAGCTTTGGATTGACTATTTTCTGCAGTGAATTATGTCACTGCTACAATTCTATCGTCCTCAGATAAAAAATAATAATAATGGGATTCACAGTTTGCAGTTTAGTAGAATTGGATCAAGATCAGCGCTGATGTTTGTTTTGATAAATCACTTTGCAAACTTGTTTCCACAGTCTCCTTCCTTAATCTGTTATATCCTTTCAATTTGAAAAAATGCTATTTTAACTTTAGGCTTCTCTACATGTTCTTCTAGACAATACACAGCTAGAACAGTTGTTTTCTTCTTCAAAGAGGTATAAGACTGATTTGGATCAATCCTATAATACTTGGGATAGGAAGCAATTTAATCCAAACCTTCAAGATAGTATATACTGTAGCTCATCCTATATACTATTCACGTTCACAAAGAATGTGAATTAGAACTATTGCCCCATCTTCTTCTCCAAGGGTGGACAACACATACCTCCTATCCATCTTAGTTCTCGGCTTGTTTTCATACAGCTTTCCACCTAATTTCCAAAGCTATTTGCAAGTGATGAATCTCAGCCTGTGGCAAGAACAATCCGTCTCAGTATCAGAAGGTAGCTAACAGAGAAGGAAGAAAAAGAGAGAAATAAAAAACCAAAAGGAATGTGCCAGAAAGATATTCAGTTGGCATATCTTCAATTGGTTCTGGTCCATTTCAGCTTTGTACACAATAACCATGAATGTGCCTCAGCATGACTTCTGTGTCTATGCAACCCTGAATAGAAAAAGATGGCCATATCCCTAGAATCTTTTTGAAACCATTTAATTACCAGTAAGTTTCAATTACAGAAACTCCAGGATTGGGGTTCTGTGATTGGTTGGCTCCTTTTATTCGAATATATTTCTGGGGCAGGGGTGAAATCCAGCAGGTTCTAACAGGTTCTGGAGAACCAGTAGCGGAAATTTTGAGTAGTTCGGAGAACCAGCAAATACCACCTCTGGATGGCCCCAGAGTGGGGTAGGAATGGAGATTTTGCAGTATCCTTCCCCTGGAGTGGGGTGGGAATGGAGATTTTGCAATATCCTTCCCCTGCCACGCCCACCAAGCCACGCCCACTGAACCAGTAGGGAAAATTTTTGGATTTCACCCGTTCTGGGATTTTTTTTATATAAAACAATCCATCAGATGTATTTCCTTCTTCTTTTGAACTCAGGACAAATTACTAGCATTTATTTATTTATTTATTTGTTTATTTATTTATTTATAAGTCCCAGTGAATTCATTAGGATTGACTTTCCAATAAATAAGTGTATGATAGAGCATGTTCCGCTATGATAATCATTTTTTGACCTTCACAAAAGCTTATGCTGTAATAAATCTCTTAGCTTTTAAGGTGCCACAGGCCACTCTCTTTCTTTGATGTAAGACAGCAGGTATGAATTTTCTACTTTTCCAGTAATCTTGATGACTGGATTGTGATTCTAAAAAAAGAATCTGGGTTGAGTATTAAACCCCTCCAAAAAAAATAACAGTAACCATTCCATTTTGATCACTTCCTTTGGATCTAAACATTTAATTAATTTAAGTTTAGTACTTATCCTCTTATTGTTCCATTCCTCCAGAACACCATTTATGCTTCATAATCAAATCAATATTATTCTATTCAAAGCATAACCTGAAATCCTTTCTTGTCGTTTTCAGTAGTTATGCAAGTACTTTTTTTCACAGAGGTATTACAGCCAATCGCCATTAGGTGTCCCCTAGCTATAACTATTCCTAAATATAATAATATTACCATGTAACAATAGAAACCATGAATGGGTTAAATTCCCAGATTTTAATTGTTGTTTTTTATAAAATGAGAACAAACTTCAAAAAACATAAAGGAGCCCCCGTTTCACTCTTGGATTGTATAAAGGGATATATTCTGAGAGCTAGTACAGCTACAGGAATCATTAAAAACAAAAACAGTAAAGCTGGATAAAGGGGGACATGTAATTTTTTCCTCTTCCGTTTATTTCCTTAAAAAATATTATTATTAGCAAGCAGTTCACACCGGTTATATTTTTCTGTTAAAATATGCTGGTCTTGGCTCTCTCTTCATGTAGGCAATATATGCAATTTTCCTTCCTTTCCTGGAGGCTAAGCAAGCGGGTAAAGAACTACGTGACTAAAACATCCAAACTTCCTCTTTCATAAGCCATCACATGATGGAAGCAATTACAATTCCAGCCTCGTCTCTGTGAATTGCAGACACATTGCCTCACCCTAGAAACCCGTCCCGCCTTCCCTCCCTCCCTCTCTTTTAGTGTAGGCAAGTAGTTGTTGCAGCCAGCTTGGAAGGGATCCAGCTTCTTTTTTGGAGAAAGCGGTGGATGGAAGGCAAAAACAAAGATCTGTTTACTGAAAGTATACAGCTTTCGGTGGGGGTGCGGGTGGGGGGATGTTGGAAGTTCCGTGAGAGCTGCTGGCAAAAGAATTCGATAGAACAGAACATAAAAGGCATGGCGGCTGTGGATTAGAAAACAACACACGTTAACTCTTGCCAGCTCGGACAAAACTGAAGGGCAGAAAGGGGCGGTGGTAGATGCTTCTTCCAAAAAAATAAATAAATCCCAGAAAGGGATCTGCAGCTGGAAAATGCTGGAAGGAAGAATCAAAACAGAACGATCTTAATTTAAAAAAAAATAAAAATAAAAACCTCGATTGTCTTTAAGAATCAGCAGGCTTCCGTTCGGACACATACAAATCAAGACTTTCTTTCCATTTAACGAGGACAATGTTTGCAGAGGAGGGGGGGGAAGCAAATGGCGGGCAGAGGATGATTGGCTTTGTGCTGCGTGGGAGAGTTGACTGGGTGAAGGAAGGGCACTGTTTATGTCTGATGCGGCTTCACCGCAGAGGCATGAGAAGGCAGGAAGCGATTAAGCTGCATTGCACCGAAAGGACAATAGGATTTTCCTGAATGTATCAACAATTGCAGTCCTCCATTTTAAACCAGGATGGGATGTTTGAGAAAGGGGTGGTGACTTGATGGATCTGTGAGAAACGGTGGGAGGGGGCACTGCACCATTTTGGGAGGGGGCGCACCAGATTTTGTGAGACAGAAACCTGCACCGAGCCCCCCGTGTTTTCTTTTTTTTGTTTGTTTTTTTTTTTGCACGCTAGCGGGAATAGCTGGTAATATTGAAAAGCGCAAGCGTAACAAGCAGGGCATTTGACAGCGGAAATCCCCATGCGGGAGAATCGTGGAAGGAATACTGAACGTGTTAATATGAGATTAAACAGCCATGTAATTTGAGGACAAGTTTATTCATGTGATCCAGCAAGATCAATAAAGTCGAGGGTGGATTTTCAACAAAAACAAACCTTTCCGCTTCATTAAGGGGAATACGTTCAAACGAATCAACCGCATTTCGAATAGCACCAAGCTAGACAATGTCAGCACCATATTTCCCTCCCCTGCCTTTTCTTTGCCAATCCAGTTGGGAGAGATAATAATCTACACTCTGCTCTTCCAACTCACAACCAGTTCATTCCAGTTGAAAGGGAAGAGGTTGCAAAAAAAAAAAAAAAAAATCGGCTCGAGCGTCTGTTTGCATTAAAAAAAATAATAATGGCGATCGGAAACTTGTCTGCTCCAGAAATTGAGGGAGATGGGCGGTTTTAAAATTTGATTAATAAAAAAGCGTCAGCAAGGACTAGAGAGTAACGCCGGATCGTGTTATAGGCAACCACACGTGCAAGTAAATTACCCTACCGCACCCGGATTTACATTCGTTCTCCTATAACCCCAACAGGTCTGAATGAATTATAGCACTGTATGCCTCCAAAAGGAACCGCACAGATTAATGATGAGAGCGAGCAAGGGAGTACACATCGTAGCTTTTACACCCGTCAGCTACCACATTGGGCGAGCTTTGCACCTGGGAGGAAGGGAGCGTGGGGCGCCCAGAAATAGCAGCAGAGGGGGAGGAGTGTACAGCCGTGACGGCGCAGCAATAAGAAGGTCTCCGCCTCTGGAATGTGCAATTCGCTTAACAAGCCTTCCAAGTGCCAATAGCAGAGAGTCACGTCTTGGACTGCGGCTGCGCACGGAGAGTGCGGCCAAAGCCCTTGAACAAAATGCAGACGTCAGAGCGCTCTCTGCCCTCCCTCCCCCGTTTCCCTTTGTAACCTACATAACTCAGCAGCTGCGGCAGCACTGTGGGAATGGTGACCTAGACGCCAGAATTTTAGGAAAACGCTGCCATTTTGTTTACCCGGCACGATCCCATAGGCACGCAGCGTGACACTTACATATATATATATATATATATATATATATACAGTAGGATTACGCTTTTCCATCAGTGACAATGGGCTCTCCCTATTTTGTACCGAGAGAAGCTTGCGCGGCTTTTTTGAGGCGGCGTGGGGTGGGAAAGGAGCGCTGTGTGAATCTGGGTGGGTGGGTGTGCTGAATGTGCCCAGCTCTGCGCTGGTGCCTGAGGAAAGGAAATACGGCTGCCCCAATATTAGACTTGAAAAGACATTGCAAAAGTAACTCATTTATGAAGAAGCTTGGCAGCGGTTAGTGTAAAGAGCAGGCTCATGCAAAATAGATTTACACGTTTTGGCAATTTCTTTGGTGGCAATACGGAGCTATCAGTTTGATAATTTCTAATACGCTTTTCACGCGTGTATCCAGGACCCCCCTCCCGTTTCTCGTTACTGTATACTGCTGTGCGCCTTTTTTTTTTTATGCGGCAGTCTGTGTTACTGTACTGTACTTTTAACATGCAATTTCAGGAAGAAAAATCTTACATGAATGTTATATTACATGTAATTTTTGGCAAACCAAGTAGGCTTCTAAACTAGGACCGAATTTAGGATCCCTTGACCATGTACTTGACCATGTAATATACTTGACATGTAATACACTTTCCCATTCCACTAACATTGACCACAACTCCCATCATTCCCCGCAAATCTACCCAACGAATTCTACTCAGAAATAAAGTCTACTTTTAGAATACAATCCTACGTCTGCTTTCTTCTAGGCAGCCTATTATATTCAGAGAGATTTATTCCTGAAGAAACGTGCCCGGGAGTATTAACTGGTAACAAATTCGTGAAAACCACTAGGAATTGCTAATAATAATAATAGCAATTCCTACTGGCAATCGTGGGGGTGGCAGCGCTCTTAAAACTCGATAATCATCCAAAATCCTTTCCTGACCTATAATTACGCCTTTTTTAAAAAAAAATCGATGCAATGCGCGGGGAGCGGGGTTGGAAATTTCAAGGACGGTTAATGACTTCAGTTTAAGAGGCAGTTTTAAGTGTAAAGGATTTGCGGAAGGTCAGTGCGCCCATAGCCAATATCGAAAATTGAAACGATTCCTCGGGTAACCTACATTTTAAAACGCGGCCATTGCAGAATCCAAAATGCAACATTTGAACACATGCACAAGGTGCGGTGACCTTCTGCAACGGGCGAAGCTATGTGTACATGGTGGCTATTAATTATTTTTTATTGCAAAACTACACTCCCCGCGCATTACTAGTAAAGCATTCTTGCCTGGAAGGAGGAGAAGGGAAAGGCACCCCAGTCCTTCTATTTGCATCCATTCACACACGAAAGAGCTGCCGTTCCCTCCCTCTCTCGCTCGCTCGCTCCCTCCCTCTCCCCGCGTGCTGACTAGAGAGAGCTGGTTATTCTTGCAGCCCTTGTTGTCTTGGCAGGAGTTCAATGAGCAGCAGGCGGAGGAAGGGGAGAGCCTAACACGCAGGCGCTCCTGGGCACTGTCGAAGAATCGAGTCACTGGAGCAGAGCGCCCAAGCGGCGGCGACTGCTTCTGGAGTCCCCGCCCAGTGTGAGTGTCTGGGCGGCCGGCAGCCGGCGGGCAGTGCTGGAGTAGCAAGAGCGCGGTGCGGGCAGAGCGAGCGGCGTGTCGTACTGGGGGGTCGGAGGGAGCTGCGCTCGGGCGATGCATATCGCCACGTCCCCGGAGTCCCGGAAATAGGAGAGCCTGGCCGAAAGCAGAGGCGCTTCCTTCGCCTCGGAGCCGCGCTCGTTCGCCCAAGGAGCTGGCATTCAGGGCAAAAGGCTGCAGCGGTTGCAACATCCCGAGCCTCCCCGGTGGCAAGCCGAGCAGCGGTGGGGAAGAGGAGGTAGGGGACAAGGCGCGGGGCGCTCGCTGCCCCTGGACTCGGCCATGTCGTCCGCGGCGGTGGCGGTGGCCGCTGCCTCCCGCAGGCAGTCCTGTTACTTGTGCGATCTACCTCGCATGCCCTGGGCCATGATCTGGGATTTCACCGAGCCCGTCTGCAGGGGCTGCGTCAACTACGAAGGGGCCGACCGTGTGGAGTTCGTCATCGACACGGCTCGGCAGCTCAAGCGGGCGCACAGTTTCCAGGAAGGCCGGGCTCCGCCACCTCCGCACACCAAGCAGCAGCCTCCGCCGCTCAGCGCCAAAGACCTGCACTCGGCGGCTGTGGCCACGGCCGAGGCGGCATCTCGCGCCCCGCCGCAGCCCCACGAGCGCTACTCTCTGGCTGCGGCGCTGGCGTCTGAGCGGCCGCCTCCCCGCCTGGGACCCGAGTACGGCGGGAGCAGGCAGGTCAACGGCATCCTCGTCCCCAACGGTTTCTCCAAGCCCGAAGAGCCGCCCGAACTGAACCGCCAGAGTCCCAACCCGCGCCGGACGCACGCCGTGGCCCCCACTTTGGTGCCCCTCATGAACGGAGCTTCCTTGCCCGCCTGCATCAGCAGCCGGGCGGCGGCGGCTGCAGCAGCCTCCTTGGCGGCTATCTCCGGAGCGCCGCCAACCCCGCTGCAGGTCTCGGTCTCCCAAGCGCAGCAGAGCCAGCAGCAGCCCGGGGAAGGGGGCGGGCACAAGCGGCCCGGCTCGGTGTCTTCCTCGTCGTCTGGGGGCGGCGGTGGCGGTGGCGGCGCCAGCGACCAGGAGGGCAAGGAAAAAGGACAGCCGCAAGCGGCGCGGGGTTCGGCGGACCCTCTGGACCCACTCGGCGTGGAGAGCAAAGCCCGGGGGGCAGCGGCGGGCACGGAGCAAGAGTGGCTGGGCAAGCCCAAGACCGTGCGTGACACCCTGCTGGCCTTGCAGCACAGCGGCCACGCGGCGCCCTTCGAAAGCAAGTTCAAGAAGGAGCCCGGCATGGCGGGAGGGAGGCTCTTGGGCTACGACAGCAACGGGGCCGCGGCCAAATCAGGTGAGAAAGGCGCGCGTTTGGCGCGGGCAGTTGGGGTCCTTGTGGAGGGAGAACCGCTTCGCCCTTCCTCCCTGAAAAACCGGGTCAGGGACGCTTTTTCAGCCTGGTGCCTGGCTATGGCAGCGTGCTCCGGGCTCGGAAGCAACATCTGGCGGGGAGGTTTCCCCTCCCTATTCCTGCCCACTTTCTCTTGCGAGGAGAGCTCTGGGGCAGGCGGGGCTGGGAAACGTTTTGCCTTCCTCCTCCTGCACCAGGCTAGAAGTCAGAGCTGCAAATTAACAAACATGCGGAAGTTAGCCAGAGACTTGATGTGTATGGATAAATGTAGGGCTCTTCTCTGTGTGAGTGGATTATGACGCATTGGGTGCACAATGACTCTGAATGTGTTTCCAGCCAGTGGAAAATTACAAGCATGCACTTGTTTCTTTGGCTCATGGCCACTAATGTGGGAGGAGGGAGGCAAAATGTAGTTACATTTGACTGCAGTGTGTACCATAATAGTGTGAGCCGTGGCCCAGCACCGCTGGGTCTACCTTACAGAAGCTGATTCACAAACCCAGATAAGGTGAACTCTTGTTGGTTTTAAGCTGGTCTTCCCCATTTGTATCTAGTGAGTAATTTGGCTGAGGTCCAGCTGCTTCAACTGACTAGACCGTGATATAGGACACACCATTCTCTCTGCAACATGATCTCATCTCCCACTGCTTCTTTCTAGGGGCTCGGGCTGCGAGGAAGAGAAAGGCTTCTCCAGAGCCCGAAGGTGAAGCTGGACCTCCAAAAATCAATGGCGAGGCACAGTCATGGTTACCCACCTCATCAGAAGGGATGAAAATACCAATGGCAGCTGCATCTTTCATGTCCCCACCGCCACCAACTGCTTCGCCTCATTCAAATCGGACCACACCACCGGAGGCAGTTCAGAATGGTCAGAACCCTATGGCTGCACTCATTTTGGTTGCAGACAACGCCGGGGGCAACCATGCTTCCAAAGATGCCAACCAGGTTCACTCCACCACCAGGAGGAATAGCAGTAGCCCCCCTTCTCCATCCCCTATGAACCAAAGAAGGCTGGCCAGGGAAGTGCCGAGCCAAGGGGCAAATCCTGGAGGGATGGAACCAGTGCACCCTGTCAGCCTCCCAGACTCTTCTCTGGCAGCAAGTGTTCCCCTCTGCTGCACCTTGTGTCACGAGCGATTGGAAGACACCCACTTTGTGCAGTGTCCCTCCGTTCCATCTCATAAGTTTTGCTTCCCTTGCTCTAGACAGAGCATCAAACAGCAAGGAGCTAATGGCGAAGTGTATTGTCCCAGTGGGGAGAAGTGCCCCCTAGTGGGATCCAATGTCCCTTGGGCCTTCATGCAAGGGGAGATTGCAACCATTCTTGCAGGAGATGTCAAAGTGAAAAAAGAGAGAGACTCATGACTTTTCCAATTTTTCATTGCAACGTCAACTTTAACATAAAACGGCTTGAACTGTATATACCTATAAATACTATAAATATCTATATATATATTATATATATATATATATATATATCCAAGACAAGGGAAATGTAGACTTCATAAAACATGGCTGTATAATTTTGATTTCTTTTTTGAATACATTGTGTTTCTATATTTTTTGAAGACAAAAGGTATGTACTTATAAATGCTCTTTTTTGTTGTTATAGCAACTATTTGTTGTGCTTCCTTGGTGACAGTTACTGTTCAGTGTAGGCTGTGACTTGCGCTGCTTTTTTTAGAGAGCACTTGGCAAACCAGACATGCTTCTAGCTGTAAATTGTATGCACTTGGTTTCTCCCCCCCTTTTTTTTTTTAAATGCCAAATACATCTTTCAACATTGTAAAGATTGCCTTATTGTCTGTGGTTCCTTTTTTTTTCTTTCTCTTTTGCCCTTATTCATATTGAAGGCATTTTAGGTTTTAGAGAAATTATGGCATTAAGGAGATCAGCAAGGATTCAAGCAAGGTTGCTATTCAGTCCAGTCCAAAGATCTGAAGCAATAGGGGTTTGTGTGGAAACATTATTCCTTCACTGCTGCTGCAAAAACCAGCCAGATTCTTACAGCGATTTTTGCTTGTAGAAGGAAGTTGTTTGCAGACTATTCAGCTTAAAGTGAGGTGCTACTGAGGCTGAGGTTTTTTTTTTTTTTTTTGTTAAAGCCAAAATAACCACAGTTGTAATATTTGGTAGTAAGATTGCAAAACCGTTTTTGTCATGCATTGCTTAAGGTTCCTGCAGTTCTTTTGTGATAAAATTTAATTATTGACTAGCCATGCATTAGAACAGAATAGCACTGCCATCTTTTTAACAAATTTACAACTTTTCAGCATAAATGAATGAACGTTGCTATGCCCTTCATACTTGTATGGAAAAACACTGAGGTAGGTTTTAAGGATTTTTACAGTAGTGCAGAAGAACTTGCTTCTTAACACTTAAATGTTTAGAACTGTTGCTACTGTTATTGTTGCTGATGTCACCTAATTGAGTAGAGCAAAAGCAGAGCGGTAATGACAGCAGCAGCAAAGATTTTGCTTGGCATGTCTGCATTGTCAGCAGAGAGATTAATGGGGATTTCTGCCTGAAATTTCCTGATCCATGTGTTGGGGGCAAAACAACCAAATCATATTTAAAGGGAACAACCTAGGATTTAAATAAATCATCTTGAATTTTTATGCAGGCATACCATGCCTTCTGGACTACCTTCAACCATTATTTTGCATAGCTAGTATTTTGATTATGCTTCTTTTTTCGTCAGAAGACAGACATTTTAGATAAACATCAACTACTAGAAATAGTCAAGACTCACTGTAGTGTTGCTGTGCTGTTCACAATTGTGTTAGCAACATTGCTGTACAACCACTTGCATTCATTATTGGTGACCACTTTAGCATATGGTCATAAATGATTATTTCAAACAACAGTTTGCCCCTTGTGTTGTTTGCACGTTACAATATATTCTCTTTAGCTACATTTAATCATTTTATACTATTGGATCAGACGGTTTTTAGGTGTTCATCTTCAGTCTTCTATTTAATGCTGAATAGATTTTGATAGGGTCCTTTTTTTAGTGGTCAACACATTTGAAAACCTAACCTGCACATGGGCAATTCTTTTTTTAAAAAAACATTTTAATAAGCACACCCACTAGCGTTGTGTTCCATATTACAGGTCAGTGTAATATTAAATAACAAGTTTTGCATGATAAACCAATATTTGAAATTATAGAAATACATATAGATCAGACTGGTGTCTTATGTAAACACGTTTAGAAAGTTTGAGATGGGAAACGCACATATGTACAACTGTAAGGATTCTTTGGAACCACTATAATTGTGGAAATAAGAATTTAGGCACTTTATTAAAAATTGGATTTTGAATTAATAGAGGATAAGTTCTTAAGAATCTTTTTGACATAATACCTCATGTATTAAACTAATTTGTATGAACAGTTTGCATTTTACGTTAAAAAAATACCCCTACAAAAATTTTCATAGTGACATCTTGGCATGTAGTTCAGATTTGAACTTCTTAATCTGATTTGAGTTTCTTAATCCAAGGTGGGATGACAGTAACTTCTTTCTTCAAAATGCTATTCAAGCATGACAGATTATCGAGAGAAGCCTTAGTTACAGTCTTCATATTGTAGCTCAGTAATATCACTGTATGTTCTTTAAAGTAGTTCAATGAGTGGGATGTTTAAAGCTTGCCATGAACACAGCTGGAACATATTTCAAGACTTTATCTGTTCAGCCAGTTTCTTCCAAACCTCTGTTAAGGTAACCAGTTCTCATATATTTTATAAATTTATACTACAGAAATGACATAAACTGTGATATGACTTTTTTTAAAAACACATTTCTGTGATTTCAATTGGCCAAATGTAATTTTGTTTGCTTTTTAAAATTGGTTTCTGACATCAGCAGATAAGCATATATCCACATATATACATATACATTGATGCACACAATATGCTTCCCTGGCTACAAAGTTTTTTCAAGTGCTTTAGCTGCAACAATACTACAGTTACTATCCAATAAACAAAACAAAACTTGATTCCATTGCAGCTAATGTGAACTTAATTGCTTATTTCAATGGAGTCAGATGTTGCACCCTTACATTTTTTCCAGTTTTTATTGGTGATTCTTTGTATAGCAATAAAGCAAAATGTCGTTTAATGGAGAGTGTGATTGTCACAATCTCACCTTCGTTATACTTTTAAGTTACCATTATTAAAATACCACCTGCACTATGCTTTCATTGTTTATAGTTGCTGAACTAACACATTACTATTTTTTTCCTATTTTTTTAATCTTTTGCATTAAATAAAGTGAAATCAGGCATTTAAACACTTTCTGTGAATGTAGTCCTTTTTTATCATCTTTTTATTTTAAAAAATATAATCCTGCAGCTACTGACATAACCTAGTAGCCAAAGCAACTTTTTTTATATTACTTTCTTTAATTAGAAGGTGATAGGGAAGAATAGAACAAAGTGTCATCAGAAAAAAAAATATTTTTTCTTAATAAGGAGAACTATTCCCTTTTATCTTAAGGTGCACAGAATCCAGGCAAGTGGGAAGGAAAAGGGAAACATACAATTTCTGGATACTACTAGTTATGGTATATTTGAGCTAAATACCCTATGAAATCATATTTAGGAAAAGGTTTATTTGTGGAGTTCTCCCGATGGCTTTTTATGGCAACAGGATCCTGAGAAATTTCTTCTGTACTTGAGCCAGAACCTCTCACTTTACTTCCAGGGAGAATAGATACAGTGTTCTGCTGACATGAGAGGGAGCCATTGAGGAGGCATCTGATGTTGCAGTTTTGTGGAAGCATTTTTTGAGTGGAAGACAGAACATTAATATGAACCATAAAAATGCTGCCCTTATTATATTTAGGTGGAAGAAAGGTTCCTTGGACATAATCTTAAGTAAATATGTTTAGAATGGAAAGAAACACTTCTAAAAATGTTCTCTTCACTGCAGTGCAGGGAAAAACAGTAGAAAACATTATGCACCAATGCAGCTTCGAAGTCCTCAGTCAAAATACAGAGAAGTTGCTGTAGTTGAAATTCTAATGATGTATGCACAATGAGTCCTAATCAGACTCAGTGCTGGAGAAGAATTGGAAATTATAATAAATTTATATAAATGTTACAAGCATTGCAATTTCAAAGATGACTTACATGGGGTGTTACAAGTTCAATGCAAAGATTTTAAGAGCTCTATGCTGTTGCAATTTGCTTAGTACTGAAAATTGAACTATTAAAACAGTAAAAAGGATTCAAATTATGGTAATAAGCATACTCTTATATTTCATCAATGAGTTCAGTAGACCCACCACAGTCCTTTATTTTTTTTTTAAATCAAGATTAGTTGAATGCTGACCTGATCTATAAAGGATTATACTATCCAATCAATGCCACTAAAATTTGGCCCTTCAGTTTTGCTGAAAGCTTCCAGCTTATGGAACATACACATTTTTATATAACCAGATAGTGCAATTAATCATATTACACTAATTTCTGCAAACTTTTTTTTTTACATTTTTACAAACACAAAAACTCTAAAATCACTCCCATATATTGGAAATAAGACAAATTAATCAGTGGATTGATTGCTTATGAGGACAACTAATGTGATCATAAAATGTAGTTAGTTAAAAGCAGCCTCTACTTTTGCTTAAGGATCATAATACTGGACTTAAAAATGTTAATAACTATAATGTGCATGAAACTAATGAGGCAGTTGGATTTCTTAAAAACATGGAATGACAAAAGGGAATTCTTCATTTTATATAAACATAACTGGTTTGTATTTTTATTTAATCTCTTTTCCTCTCCCACATATATCTTTTAAGGTAAATCTGTTGTCAAAAGTGCAGATCAACTATTACAAACTAAGCAGAGCAGAGTTCTTCTTGCTCTGATTTCTTTAGACAAATAATTCAGAAACTGTTCTGCCAGATCTAGGTAGGCCACACAAAATTCTGACTCACTATCATTTACTTGCCTGTGTTCAAAAAAATACAGAATAAGAAGAAACGCCTTTCCTTTATCATAGATGAAGGTCAGGCTGTACTAACAGATGAATGGAATGTATATTTACCAATTGCATCATTCCAGACTTTGTAGCTGGGACGCTCAACTAACTCATTCAATGTCTTTGGCTAAGAGGAAATAATCATAAATCCTTATAAAGGCTTTCATTTTACAATGGTAATTTACTCTCAATGTTCTATCCTATCAACGCGTATGGACTAAAGGTGAGTAGAACAGTGTTCTAAATAAAGGTGTGTAGGTCTATAATGTTAACTACATTTGAAGAAATTCTTAAAGTTAACCCTAAATTAACTGATACTTGTATGCTATTGCTTTATGGAATTCAGCTTTATGAATAACTGATGTATCCTTATTTCAATTTAGAAGAGTTATCACAGTAGTTACATAAGTAAAATGCATTAAGGGCACATATAATATTATTTTTTAAACTGAACTATCCCAGATGTTGTCTCTTACTTTTATAAAGGTTATTACTTTTCTAACGCTTTCAGGCAAAAATCCAGTTCTGAACCCTTTGTATGTACATGGTTTCAACTGAAACTACTTTCAATGTAGCAGCTAAATGTAACAGCTACTTATATTAAAATTAGAAATACCTGTCTGCAAATTGTAGCCTGATATGTATAATTCCAGGCCTAAATAGTACAATTTAGAAATAAATCCTACTCAGTTGCACAGAATTTATATGCATATAGTAAGTTTAGGTTGATGAAAGTTTATTTTTCTCGCTATAGATCTATATGCATTGGTGAACAGATTTCCCAGTTTTCTATCAAAGTATTATCAATTCTATTTATCTCAGGATGTTTATGTTACAATTAAAGGGACACAAATGGATTCTTCTTAAATATGGACATTATTTCCTAGTTCTCAGGATTGTGTTATCTTCTGTCTCTACACATAAACATAGACAATGATAGGAGTTTCAGACTTTAGTTTGCTTGATATTATACCCATTATTCCCATGTAATATGATCTACAGTATATACTGCAGTCTTCTTGTATCCTAAAAGGTAACAGAATGGCACTAACAATTATTTTGCAGTGTTGATTTTGATTCTCAGCAAGGATTGATAAGGTGCTGGGAACTCTCCACTGTCCTTAAGGGACCTGGTACCATATTCAAAAATGGCCTTATGCTCCTTTTATAAGCAGAAGTGCTGAAAGAGAAGTGAAACAAAAGGAAGGTGAAATGTTTTCCAGTTCAGTCATGCTGATAACAGACTTTCACTGGTTGAAAAGTAATAGGATTAGCAATATTAATGGATGCTGGAACATAATAATTCAGCAACCTAAATCCAGCCTCTGTGGTAGGGTAAAAATACAGGATGGATGGACAGATGGATGATTGATAGATTAGACAGACAGACAGATAAATGTAGACAGACATCTCCTTCGAAAGCACATCAAAAACATCCTGGAAGAAGACAATATCAAACCATTTATGTTGTCAAGAAAACAGCACAGACATGTTTAGGTATCAGCAGGAGCTGAGCTTTACTCAAAGAAACCCCTATTTTAAGACTATACTTTCAAAGTTTGCTGACCTAACCCATTTGCCAAAGTTCATACACTACATTAACTCACAAAACTGTCAATCATACCTTACCCTAGTGTGATTAAGATCCTGAACTACAGCCTGAGAAGTCATGAAAGCTAAATGGGTCATTTTATTTATTTATTTACTTACCTCCCTACTTACTATTTGACTTACATGCCATGCAATCATAACTTAAAGCAGCTTACAGGTTTACAAGCAGTGTGAAGGTTAAAACTGCCAAGATAAATTTCCCAACTCCAAGGAATTTCACATATATAAAGCATTCACTGGGAGGAAATGAACAAATGAATAAAGCCAGTTCCACAGGTCCTAAACATCTGCTGAAACAGACATGTCTTAACAGCTTTATGGAACGTCAGAAAGAGCTGAAACTTGTCTAATGTTGACAATGGACATCAGACAATGAACAATGGATCTCTGAGACAGTGTTGTTCCAGAGAAAGGGGACAGTGACAGAGAAAGACCAACTTCAAAATCCTGCAGATGACTTCAATAATCTAGAGAGAGGCACTCTCTTCCAGATATTAGGCTAGTTAACTATCTCTTAGCTCAACTTATCCTACCTAGTTCCTGGTACAGGCAAAAAAAAGAAAAGAAGGGGAAATAGTAGGCATGCCATTGCCTTCATTTCCTGGGGAACAGGGACAGGGGAAAAAATAAATCTGTTAAAATTTGCTATAGTCAAATTGATCCATTTAGGGAATGTCCAACAATATCCATTCCTCTCTCTAGGAGATCTAATTGTCCTGCTACTAGCCAGTTTCCGTTATCTCACTCTGGAGCAATGTTTCTCAATCTTGGCAACTTTAAGTTATGTGGACAGCTGGAGAATGTGAAGTCCATAGATCTTAAAATTTCCAAGGTTGAGAAATACTGCTCTAAAGGATTTAGTTCATGGGTGTCCAACTTTTTGGCTTGCCTGGACCACACTGAGAGAAGAGGAATTGTCTTGCGCCACATATAATACACACACATAAACATACATGCATACATATATACATATACATATACATACATATATGTATGTATTTCTCTTTAGCCAGGTTCTTCCTACGTAAACCAAGATTTTTATGCAGCTCCAGCTCAGTGAAATCCCAATCCACTAGTTTCTAGGCTTTTTTTCTTCAGCAGCCAGCAACCTCCCTGCTGCCCATTGGGAGACTGAAATAGATCTATTTCAGACTTATAAGCCCTCATCAGTTAGCCACACCTTCATCCCATGTATCCTCCCTGTACATGGGATGTACATGGGATGAAGGTGTGGCTAACTGATGAGGGCTTATAAATCCGAAATAGATCTATCTTAGTCTCCTTAGTCTCCCAATGGGCAGCAGGGAGCTTGCTGGCTGCTGGAGAAAAAAAGCCTAGAAACTAGTGGATTGGGATTTCACTGAACTAGGGCTGCATAAAAATCTTGGTTTACGTAGGAAGAACCTGGCTAAAGAGAAATACACAGAAAGGCCTACAAAAAGAAAACACACACACACACACACACACACACATATATAAAGTGTTTTTCTGTCGAAGCACCTGGTCTACCCCAATATGGAAGGGAGCATACTGCTTCCCTTGCACCTTTCAGCTCCAATCCAGTCCTCAAGCAGTCGCATTTTATATATATATATATATATATATATATATATATATATACAGTGTGTGTGTGTGTGTGTGTGTATAGGTCTTTGGTTATTCGGGTTTTCTCCCGCGTAAAATTGATAGTGTCTT